ACAAATTTTGATTTTGTATTTACACAAAATGAGTTATTTACCTCGGAGGTGGTTTTTGCTGTAGACAGTCCCATATATCAATTACTTTAGAATCAACTCTAGCTTCTTTCAATTCCTTATGAAATAATGTAAGATGTGAGCTGGATGTGACAATTTCTTCATCACTATCATTTTTTGTCTTGATTAAATCTAAAGCATGTAACCAAATATCCCACACATCTTCAGTTTTTGCACAATATTGAGCTCTTTCCTTGATAGTAAGTTTTCCCCCCTTTTGTCTGGTACAAGAGCTTCTATTTGATTGTCTTTGAATAGGCGCCAGCAAAGAGCTTCTTTCACATCTTTACGAGCCTTCCAATCTGGTAGCATAGTACCAAGCTCATCAGCATGAGCATGTAATTGAAGCGGGTTTGATTCAGCCAATAGGTTATATTTATTGAGGATCTGATCCAAAATGGAGGTAAAGCTATTAGTTTTGGGTTTTCTAGTTTTTCGGAGAGTTGCCATGATAGATATATATTGATAAGTAGATTGTGATTGTACATTAACCTACTTATTTTTTCAAATTGAAATTAATTATCTCGGGTCAGAATATCTAATATTTACCCAAAATTGAATGGGTCACAGTTATTGTAATTCTGTCAGAAAATGGATGTGAGTAAGACACAAATTTGATCAAAAGTCTTGGAATCCATAGCTTTATAAAGAGGTCTTGGAAAAAATAATTAATATATGCCAAGCGCATGATTATACTTCATGTCTAGAATCAGACAAGTCAGGTATATGATTCTCAAGCATAACAATTTTTGCATGTAATTCAGCCTGCTTTTTTTGATGATAATATTCTCTTTTTCAATACTTACTCACATGATTCCAGCATGCACCATATGTAGAATATGTTAGCTTACTGCATTCCTGCCTTCTCGCATATATGCTCGAAGCCAGTGAAAAAATGGCCTATAGTAAGGTGAGTTATTCCTTATATATCAAGATATTTCCCCTAATTTTATAACTGTCTATTCATACCCAGAATTAGATAAGTCAGGTAGATTCTCAAACATAGCAATTTTTGCATGTAATTCATCCTGCTTTTTTCTGTGATAATTCTCTCTACTTTGATATTTGCCTACATGTTTATAGCATGCATTATTGGGGTGTTACACATCAGTATAAACACAAACATAGTTGAGCACACTTATAAAAAACTATATGTAAGGATTTTTT